ACAATATTATTTAATCACACAGTGTTCAGAAAGTGCATTCTCCTCTATTCTGCACTTTAGATGAATGACTGATTAGGTGCGACTGGTACTCGATACTTTTGAAAATGAGTATTGTATCCGGATACAACATTTCAGTATCGATACTTTTTTGAGTATCGATACTTTTGACAACCCTAATTTAAACCCACATAGTCCTTATTTATAATGAGCTAATACACTTAGAACTCGTGTTTCCATATGAGGCTTATAGAAGACTTTTACATTTTTGCGGCTCCAGACAGATTTGTTTTTTTTTGTTCCAATATGGCTCTTTGAACAGTTTAGGCTGCCGACCGCTAATCTACATCGATCTGAAGGACTCATTCTGGGTTCCTTAACCCTATAATGCCAAATGTATCCTATTTGATACATACGGTTTCTGAAATGTTTTGCGTCTGACACCTTTTGCATAATTTAATGGTAAAAACTTTGCTTAATATCCTATTGTACACAATCAGATATACCTGATAACAGCCAGCAGAAGACTACACTAAAAATAATCTTGACTTATCGCATAGTAATAAATTATTAATATCAAAAATGTATTTCTGTTTTTTCTTTTTACATATTTTGGTAAAAGGCCAAATAAGGACTTCAAACCAAAAAAAAAAAGTTATTTTCTGTTTTGTTTTATTCTTGGATTGGGCTTTAAAGGGTTAAACTGATCCAGTGATTGGAGGGATTTTAGTTTCACAAAGAGGTGAAGGATGTGAAGTGGAAGAGAAATCAGACTCTGATTAGGAGGAATCTGAGGCGATAAAAGCCTTTCATCTGTCTGTTACTTCGGTTGCTAAGCAACAAACCGTGGGGTTTGCCATTGATGATGACGGCTGCTGATCTCACCTGTCCTCTGATGTCGATGTCGGCGTATTTATGCAGCAGCGCTCTGACGATCTCCACGTGGCCGCCCCTCACCGCTCCGATCAGAACCGTGTCCCCGCTCTGAAACACACAGGCTGTCATTAGCAGCGGCCAGGCCGCCGATGAGGACGCCCCCCCCCTGGCTCTGAAACACGGCGTCTCACCCGGTCGGGGATGTTGACGTACGTCCCGGCGTCCAGCAGGTCCTGGACGATCTCGGTGTAGCCTTCTTTGGCGGCGATCATCAGCGCCGTGTTCCCGTCCTTGTCCGTCATGTTGACGTTGGGGTTCCTCTTCAGGAGCTCCTTCACCACCTCCGTGTAGCCGCCCTTCACGGCCACGATCAGGGCCGTCATGGAGTTCTGAGGAGGACAGCTCGCTGTTTTTACTCAACTGGAACCAGTCACTTATACTGGGAGGATGTCTGGTTTACACTGAATCATTTCCAAACCTCTAATGTGACATTGATCCTGTTATTGTCATCTAAAACAAACTAA